CGGTGCCCCGGGCCTCTGCCCTGCTCCGCTGTGGCTCCCGCAGGGCCCCGTGCCCTGGCCGGCAACGGGCAGCGCCGGGTGGTGACTCCCTGTCTCTCTCCCAGGGCCCGATCCGGAGCTGGGCAGCGTCCCCAGGCTCCCGTCCTGAGCCTGCATCGGGGCTCAGAGTGGCGAGAGGGATCCTGGGCCTGTCCGGTGCCAAAGATGTTCCCGCAGAACCGGCCCCCGGTGAGCCCGCGGCGTGGCCTCGTCCCCTCCAGGCCACGGGCGAGCACGTGGTGCTGTGGCAGGCGCGCCCCCCCCGGCCTGGCCCTTGGCAGGGCCTGTGTCCCCAGACCGAGCTCTCCGCCTGCCTCACCCCACGGGAGCGCGGGAGGTTTCGGCCTTGGCCTGGGAAGTTGTGCCGATGGCCTGTAATGCACTCGGGAGCATTGTCGCAGCTCTTCCCAAACTGATGCTGAACCCCAGAGCGGCGGGGATTTGGGTTTTAAGACATGCTAGAAGCTGGATCGCAGTCAGGGTGTGAGGGATGAGCGGGTGGGAAGCTCTGCCTCGTGGCACGTGGGCAAGGACAGACCCCCGCTGCTGGGGCTGGGCGGGAGAGCCGGGGGGGGTTGCACATTCTGCCTGCGTAGGCTTCGTGCTCTGTGCCACCCGTGGTTGTTAATCCTCCTCTTCTGGCTCAGTGGCTGAACCGATGCTGAAAAGGTGGAGAACAATTGCCCTCGGTGCCTGGCTGTAACCAGTATCTTCTGCAATAACTTTCTGCTGCCTCCTCCATGTGCCGCTCTCCCAGACGTGCCCGTAGCCTCTCCCCTGGGCGCGGGAAACCCCTGGGGGCCTCGCTGGGCCAGCAGCAGTGAACCTGGGGGTCCCCTCCTCTGCCTAGGCCCATCTCCAGGCTCCCTCTGCTGCCTCTGGAGCCGCTGTTGCTGCCAGTGCCATCCCCAGCACCCCACAGTCCCTCAAGCTGACTTACCCAGAGACCTTGGACCGCATCAAGGAGGAATTCCAGTTCCTGCAGAACCAATACCACAGGTGAGAAGCTGCCAGACCTTGCATGCCAGCAAGGTGCTGGGCACTTAACTGGCGCTGGCGAGAGGCGGGCTCCCCCTCAGCACTGGGCATCAGTGCGGACTGGCAGGAAGTGCAGTCCCGTGCTGCTGTGGGCACTGGTCCATCTGGAGGACGGCTGTGCCAAGCACCACCTTGGTAGCTTGAAATGACACTGTTGGAGGGGGAAACTTGCCCTCCTTCCAAAAGCCCTGGGATGAGGGTGCTGGCTTCCAGGGCCCGGCTTCTGGGCTGAGCTGGAGCCATCACTTAGCAGACCTGGAGTCCCTCTGATCCCCCTGCTGCTGGCCAGGATCACCTTCCCTTCCGTGCACAGTGCTGGGCAGAGCAAGGTTTGAAATGCAGCTCGGCTTTGCAGTGCGCGCACCATTTGGGAAGCAGATGCTGGGGAGGGGGTTAAAACTCCATGCAGATTGCTCCCTGATGCCTGGATCCCTTTCCTGTCCATCTCCTCTTTACCAGCCCCTTCCCACCCTCTTTCAGGTGGTTTTCTTGGCTTGTGCCGGGAGATGGGATTGAATCTGAGAGCAGGAGGCTGAAGCACGTGGTGCACTGGGAGGGCTCATGGTCTGTCCAGCCAGGGGGATCTTGTCTGTGGGGGAAGCAGGGGGTCTCTCCCTCTCTCTTCCTCTGTCTCTCTTTCTTCTCTTTATTTTTACAGCTTGAAGTTAGAATGTGAAAAGCTGGCAACAGAAAAAACAGAAATCCAGCGTCATTATGTCATGGTTAGTGAGCTCCACCTGAAAGAAGGAGAGCGGTGGGGGGTGTCTCCTCTGAACCATCAAAGGACACGCAACCCTGAGATGCTTTGGCTTCCACTTGCGTTTGGGTTGTGTGGCCAGGCCCTGAGATCTGGTTCCTGTGGCTGTTATTGTCTGGTTTTCCCCCAAAACAAGCCGTGGTGTTGGAGCAGGTCTCGCTGCCACAGCTCACGGTGGCGGAATGGTGGCAAAGCTGCTCCCATGCAGGATCCATGTTGGTTCTGCAGGCTGTGGCCGCATGCCACGGACACCTGTGCTCCTGGGCAAGGAGCTGGGGACTGTGTTCTCCTCCTGGCCTGGTCACAGCGTGGATGTTTGTGGCTGGACTGACCCTGCACGCCAGCGCCAGAGAGGACTTTCTGGTTGGGAGTCCCTCTGGGCTCCCCAGCCACACTGATGCTGCCTTCTCTCCCTTGTAGTACTACGAGATGTCCTACGGCCTGAACATAGAGATGCACAAACAGGTGAGTCTGGGTAGGACGAGAGCGTTGTGCTGGGTCCCCTGACCGTGCCTTGCCATCTGGGCCCTTCGGGGTCATCCCTTCACACAGAAAGTGGTCCAGGGAAGGCTGCGCTTGTGGGGGACGTGCTCCCTTCTCTGTGCTTTGGGAGCTCTGCCCTGCTCTGCGTCACGGTCTTGGCCTGTCTCCTCAGCACATGTGTGTGCTCCGGCTTGAGCTGCCGTTTGCTCACTGGGTTCAGGGAACGTGTTCCCAGCTGGGTCGCGATGCGCTCGTTGCAGTGGGGAGAGAGCAGCGGTGGAAGACTTGCGCTTGCATGAGCGGCCTCTTGGGGACCACTGTGGAGGAGACTGGCTCCCACGGGGCAAGGGGTGCTGCAGCATCGTGGCAGGGTGACGAGCTCTGGCTCGCTGCCTTTGCAACTGTCCAGTGCCAGCTGGCCCTGGGGGCAGCTTGCCTGGGGCCCAGGGCTGAGGAGCATCCTGAGGTAGGGAGGAGGGGGCTGGGGCATGGGTGCAGGCTGGGCTCCCCCAGGGCTCGGGGCTGCACATCCCCCCCTTGCTGCCTCCCCATCCCTCCCTTCCTCCCGCTGCGACACGCTCCGGGTCACCAGCTGCTCTGAGACAGAAGGTTTCTTCTCATCTATTTTTAAAGAGCCTGTGGAGGAGCCTGGCAGGGCGTGCTGCAGCCGCGGCCTCCTTCCTTCCCGCCGCGTGCCCTGCCACTGCCAACTGTTGCGCAGGAGCCGGCTCGGGCCGGTGGCATGGGGGTGCCGGCCCCCAGCACAGGGCTGGCTGATGGCCGCTCTCGCTGGCTTTGCACCCGCCGGGTGGGTGTTTCTGCTGCTCTCGTCGTTTCCCGTGGTGCGCCTTGCCCCATGCTGCCATCCCTGCTGCGCAAAGCCAGCCAAGAAGGAGGCGTGAAGCCGCCCTTGTGAGGGGCGACGCCGAGGGTCCACCCAGCCTGGCGCCCCCTCCCTGGAGGGCTGTGTGCTTCTCTCATCTGGCTGCCGGTTCTCCCCTGGCCCTTGCAGGCTCGTGTTTTCTGCTGGTCCCAGGTGCCGCTGGCTGCCTGCCAGCGAGCTGTCTGCGCTTTTAACAAGGGCCCGTAAGTCTGCTCTGACAGCCAGCGGCCATTGTGTAAAAAATGGGAACCGCCTGCGCGGGAGCCGTGGGTTATCGCTGCTGTGGGGAGATCGGGTCGCCGCCTCTTCTCCCCTCAAATCTGGCGCTGCTCATGGGCATGGGCAGGGGTCCTGACCGCTCTTGGCTGTCCTGGGATCCCCGAGGAAGCACTTGGCCCATCGCCGCTGGTGAAGGCAGGGTAGTGCCTTGGTGCGGTGCTGCCTCCGTCCCTGCTGTGCCCAGCCCAGCATCCCCTGGAGGCTCCCCAGGCGCCTGACTCCTGTGGTGCTGGTGTCAGCAGTGCTGGCATCGGCAAGGGCCAAGGCATGGGGTGGTTTTGCCCTGGGTTTGTTTGGAGGGAAATAGGGCTGGAGGACTGGTTGTGGTGGTGCAGCTCTCCAGGCAGCCACAGGCTCGGCAGGGGAGGCTCAAGACAGGAACAAGCAGGAGACGTTATTTTTTTATTGTTGTTTTGTTTTTGGCATGGAAGGGGCCTGTAGCTTTTTATAAAACCACCTCCCTGAATCTGCCTGGCCTTGGACTTGCTCACCGCGAGCCAGAGGGGAGGTGACAGTGCTGGTGGCTGGGGGGGCTGCAAACAGCATGATCATTTTTCATGCTGAGAGCGTTAAAGTGCCAGTAAATTGCACATTAACGAGTGCGAGTGAATTGGAGGCAGCTCTCCCCAAGGAGCTGCTGCCCATCAGTGCATTAGGGAAGAGAATCCATCACTGCTGGCCCCGGGAGACAGCTAAATCCTTCCCAGAACTGCTGGCTGCCAAATCTTCTTGCTCCCCCCGCTTTCTTTCTTTTCTTTTCTTTCTCTTTTTTCCTCCCTCGGAAGGGGAAGCAAGGGCGGGTGCTGGATTGTTTCTGCTCTCTGTGGGTCTGGCAAAAACGGGTTGGTGGCTGCTCCGGAGGGTGGCACAGGGTGTCCCTGGGTCTGTGTCCCCACACCAGGTGGGCAGTGCTGTGGCCCCTCACCCTGGCACTGTGGCGCCTGTGCCAGCTGGGCACGGGAGACAAGCAGGGAGATCCGGGACTAAGCTCTGTCCCTGGCTGTTGGGGCCCTTCAGCCCTGGTCTCCTCCTGGGGCTGACAAGAGGGTCTGGGTTTGACCCCCTCCTCTCAGCCCCATGCTGGCTCTGTAACGCTGTCATCCTCCTCACCAGGGTGGGCAGGGAGCTCCTCGGAGCTTGAGACAGCACCTTACCTGGACCCTGCGTGCCCGGGGCACCTCCTGTCTGTCCAGGAGCGGAGGATGCCTGGGTTTAGGGAGAGCTGCTGATCTCTGCCCCCTCTCTGCTGCTGAGGTGGGGTGGGGTCCCCAGCTCTGCACAATGAGGAGCAGTGTGGGCGTCTCCGCTGTTGCCTTGAGCCGTATCTGCTCTCCTGGCTGTCACTCACTGGTGCTTGGGGCAGGGGCCTGATCCTGCAACCCCTGGGGGGTCTCCCCAGGGATGTATCTGTGGGGCTGGGGATGGTTTAGTGTCTGTGCTCGCCCCCCAGCATGGGGCCAGCGGGGGCTCTGCCCTGGCTGTGGGGTGCCATGGGAGCGTGGCACAGCACAGCATGCTGCCTCTCTTCCTCCCTGTGCTGCTCCCGTGCTCAGCGCTTCTGATTGCCTGTGGCACTCAAGTGTTGCGGAAAAACAGCAGCTGGAAAGAGAGCACCTCTCCAGGGCTTCCTGCGGGCTGGGAGAGTAGCAATTAGTGGTTGTGGTGTTGGCAGGAGGCTGTGCAGAGGGCGGAGGGGAGTCGGCCGGGGCCATGAGCCGTGGGGCTGGGGGCTTTCTTGGGGGTGGCCCTTGGTGGCATGGGCCATGGGGCTCCCTGTCCGTGGCAGGGAGGAGGCGAGAGCCATGCTGGGGCTCTCAGGGTAGGGGTGGAAGATGCTGGGCTCATGTTTTTGGAGGGGGTGACGTTAGGAAGGAGAGTTTTCTTGGTCCCCCCCGAGGTGTTTCTGCTCTTTGGTGCTGAGCAGCAGCGCTTGGGGCCAAGCGCCAGCACCCTGTGGTGGCTTGGGTGGCAATGGGGAGGGGGCGTCTGCCTGCCTGGGGAGCACCCTTGGCAGGAAGGGTCTCCTGCCGAGTCGGGGCTGCTCAGTGCGGGAGCAACTCTGCCCCTTGCCCTGATGGGCACTGCTTTTCTTCTGCCAGACGGAGATTGCGAAGCGGCTCAACGTGATCTGCGCTCAGCTCATCCCGTTCCTGTCTCAGGAGGTGGGTGAGCCCTTCGGCCCCGACCAGGTGTGCAGACCTCCCTTCAGGGCACAGAGAGCGTCCCTGCTGGGGGACCCAGGCCCTGCGCTTTGGGCTGGGCTGGGGGGGGCTGGCTTTGCCCTGTCCCCTGAAGAAACAAGACTGCTGTAGCCCTGCTTGCCGCAGGAGTCGGCGGGGGCATCGCCTGGCGCTGACACGCTCATCTCTCCCTGCAGCACCAGCAGCAGGTGGTCCAGGCCGTGGAGCGTGCGAAGCAGGTGACTATGACCGACCTGAACGCGGCGATTGGGGTACGTCAACCCTCTACCCACCCCTTCCCACCGCCCCCCGGCTGGGGGTGCTGGGCTCCTGCAGGCAATGGTGTCTCCCGGGGCTGGAGACCTGTCCTGCCCTGAGCACGCAGGGGTCGGCTGCAGCCCTCTGCTCCATTGCCTTCTCTCTCCCATGGCTGAGTCAGGGGGAGGAGGGGGACAAGCCAGGCTGGTTTGGGGGGCTGCCAGCAGTACTTGGGGTGGAGGAGATGCTGCTGCTGCTGCAGCAGTGCCAAAGCAGGGTGTGGGGGTGATGGCTGGTGCATGTCACTGTGTCCTGATGTCTTGTGGCCTGGGTGGAGGGGGGGGTTGCCACCATCCACACACCTCAGTTATTCCCTCAAGACCACAGTGGTACGGTGGTATGGATACAGGTAGGGTCCCCCATCCATATGGATACGAGTAGGGTCCCCCAGCTGTCCCAGTAGCTCCTGTCACAGAGTGGGAGGAGGCGGTGGGAGGGACGTGATGGCTCCACAGCTTAGCTGGGGGCACCCTGGGAGCGTGCCCTGCCCTTCCTCACCCAGCTCCTTATCCCTGGGCTGACCCAGGGCTGCCGGTGGGGAGGAGCAGCCTTTCCGTCCCCCCTGCCCAGTGGCTGTCCTGACTCGGCCCTTTGGCTCTGCTTTCTCCTCCTGCTCCTCTCCAGCACCAGCTCCAGACCCAGCACCTCTCACACCACGCTCCCCCCATCCCGCTGACTCCCCACCCCTCCGGGATGCAGCCCACTGGCCTCGCAGGCATCGGCAGCACCTCGGGGCTGCTGGCACTCTCGGGGGCGCTGGGGGCTCAGGCCCAGCTCCTCGCCAAAGATGACCGAGGAGTCCACGACACCGAGCCCAGGGGTGAGCGTGGGGGGACAGGAGCCAGGGGGGAGTCTGGTGTGACCCTCCTGGCAGCAGGCAAATCTGGGAATGGGTGGTGCTGGGCCCCAGGGCTGCTTCTACTCCCCGTGCCCTTCCCGCTTGGGCACTTCCCTGGGGTGGGGGCCAGGGCTGGGTGGGAGCCAGCTTGTCCGTGCCTCGGGGCTCCCAACCAGGCTGGCGGAGCAGGGGGCTTGCCATCTGGGAGGGGTTTGGGTGCGGGATGTCCCCCACTGAGCAGCACCTCCTGGGAGGGCAGTGGGGTGGGCTGAGAGGGGGGTCATCCCTGATGGGGGCCTGGGACCACCCTGCTGCTGTAGTACTGGCCCAGCCCTGCCACGAGCACCCTGGCACCTGCGGGAGGAGTGGGCGGCTTTCCTGGGGGGCTCTCGGCAGTGGCACAGCATGTCCCTCCTTCCCTCCTTCTCCTGCTGCTCCGCGTTGCCACGGTGACAGAGCGAGACCCCGGCCCCGTAAGTGCCTTTTCCTTCTCTTGCACTGTTTCCCTCTGGCTGTGCAGGCTCCATCTGGGACCCCGGGAGCGGGTGGCTGCGTGGGGGACAGGTCCTTGGGTCCTGCTCCCTGGCTGAGGCCCCGCTGCCAGCACACCCGGGTGAGAGCGGGTGGGTGCTCTTCCCATGGGTTCCCCTTCCCCACATCACGTGGGCAAACCATACTATCCCCCCACACAGTGTCCCCCTCCTCACTCCTTTGGCAAGAGCTGAAGCCTGAGCTGGCAGCACAGGGGGCCGCACTGGGGCCCTCCATGCCCTGGAAGCCGGCTGCAGCCCCACATTGGCGCTGCCTGTCCTGGGAGCTGGGCACAGTGGCTTGCGGCCCCTAATGCTGCGTCCCCCTGCCCCAGAGCTCCCTGGCACTGCCCAATGGTGAACGGGCACGAGCCATCTCCGAGTACCTGAGCAGCAGCAAGAAGAGGAAGGTGGAGGAGAAGGACTTTGTTACAGACTATGTGAGCCCAGGGAAGGGTGGCTGGAGGGCTTGGGGCATCCCTATCCCCTCCTGTCGGGCGATGAGCGGAGCTGCCCGCACCTCCGGCACTTCCCAGGCAGGAGCGAGGGCAGCCTCAGCTCCTTCAGCTCCAACCATCCTCTGCGTTTCAGGGCAGCGACGCAGACAAAAGCGAAGACAACTTGGTGGTGGATGAGGTCAGTGTGCTGGGGGCTGGGGTTGGTGTGCACTGCCCATCCCTCTGCCTAAGTGGGGGGCTAACAGGCTGTTACAGACAGAGACGGGCAGCACGGGGAGGTGGCGGTGGGACCCCTGAGTCACGTTCACTGGCCATCGCTGATGGCAGTGATGAGCCCCTGGATCTAGGATCCCAGCCTGGCCCTCAGTCGAGCTACCAGCTCACCATGGTCTGGGATGTCCCCCCACTCCTGCCTGCTCTGCTGCCTGCTGATTTCCCTCCCCCCCAGGACCCCTCTTCCCCGCACAGTGTCCACTCCTACTCGTCCCGGGAGAACGGGGTGGAGAAGGTCCCACTGGGGAGGAAGGAAGCCGTACCACTCAGCCCGACCTCCATGGCCTCCTCGAGCAGCACGTCCCCGTCGCGGAGCAAGGATGCACCCATGGTACATGCACTGTGTGGGGCAGCCAGGGTGCTTTGCTCGGGGGTTGTGCTCGCGTCCTTGCTGCCAGAGCTGCTGGATGTGGGTCCATCTGCCTCTAAACCCACGGGGTAAAGGCAATGCTGGGGGAACAGGGTGGGGTTCTGCTCTGTTAGATCCCCTCTCGTGTCCCATCCTGCACACCCTGCAGTGCTGGCTGGGCTGGGCTGGGCTGCCATCAGGGGTGAAGAACAGGGACCAGCTTGCTGGGGCAGACCTGAGGAGACCCCCTGGCAGGGCAGGAGCACGGCTGTCAGATATTCCCACTCTGTTCCTGGCAGGTGGAGAAGGCAGGGACACCCAGCCTGAAGTCCAGCACCCCCACCTCTCAGGGTGACGCCGCGGCCCCAGGCTCCAGCAGTGCCCAGCAGTTTCGCCCCGCTGCCACCAAGGCCCCTGTGGACCCACTGGGTGAGCTTGGCCCTGCCAGGGCCTGGGTGGGCGGCTCTGGTCCCACCAGCTCCTGTGAGGACAGACCCTGGGGCCCGTCCCTTCATGCCACCTCTCACCCAGCAGCCCTGGGCCTGAGGAACCCGCTGGGAGTGCAGAGCGCCTACTCGGCTGCCTTCGGCATGGCCCACCCCACGGTTAACGGGGACATGGCCGGGACCGGTGCCTATGCCAGCCTCCACCTCATGTCCCCACAGCTCAATGGGGCTGCGGCCACCGTGGGAGCCGGCAGCTACGGGCGCTCCCCCCTGGTGCGTGAGCCTCTTCCCTGCGGGGCCCTGGGGGCCATTGCGCGCGAGCTGCTCTCACCCACTGTCCCCTCCAGGTGGGCTACGATCCGCACCCCCACATGCGCGTCCCAGGGCTGGCGGCTGGCATGCAAGTGGGGACCTCAGGGAAACCGTAAGTGGGGCTGTGCTGGGGGCTGTGCTGGGGGCAGGGGACGAGGAGTCCTGCAGGGCTTAAGCTGGGAGGTGCAGGTGGGCCAGGGACAGCTGGGATGAGGAGCACAGCCTTGGCAGGGGGCACCCGTTCCGAGCAGTGGCAGGCTGTTGCATGCCTGGCCAGGCTTCACCAGGCGCCACTCTGCTCACGGCTCTGACTCCAAACCCTGCTGCATGTGTTGTGCGTGCTGGGTTTGATGTGGCACTGGCCGCTCTCCACATGGGATCTTTAGATGGTTCTCACTGATCTGTCCTCTTCCAGCGCCTATTCCTTCCATGTCAGCGCTGACGGGCAGATGCAACCGGTGCCTTTCCCACCCGACGCCCTCATCGGCTCCGGCATCCCCCGCCATGCACGGCAGCTCCACACCCTGACCCATGGTGAGGTGGTCTGTGCCGTCACCATCAGCAACTCCACGCGACATGTCTACACTGGGGGCAAGGGCTGCGTGAAGGTGTGGGACGTGGGGCAGCCGGGCACCAAGACAGCCGTGGCTCAGCTGGACTGTTTGGTAAGGAGGGGCGCGCCGCTTCTCTGGCACAGCTTGTTTTCTTGTTTCCGTGCACTGTGCCATTGTGCTGTGGTGAAGATGGGGTCTGGGGATGCATTGGGGACCTCAGAGGTGCAGGGGGTGTCTGAAAACGATGATGTGCACTGAGGAGAGTCTCCATGTGCGTTTCTAAGCAGCAGCAGTGTGGGGCTGCTGGGGAGGGATGGTGGCTCCATGCTGCCAGTATGCTCCCCTGCACCGCTCTGTCTCTTCTGAGCATCCCAAGCCGTTGGGGGGCTTTTACACATACACACCCCCCCTTGGCACTGCTTTGTTTGACAGCACCTGCCCTAAGACGAGCCTTTGCCAGTGTCAACCCCCTGGCCAGATACTTCGTACGGGCCAGAATCGCATGGGCTGAAGCATCACTTGGATTCAGCTCTGTGCTTCTTTCTGCTTTTGCTTGTGTGAGTTTGGCTAGAGGGAGAACTCCTATTTCTTTTAAAAATAAATGAGATGGACTGTCAGACCACAGCAACTCACCAGAGCCAAGCTGGAGGCACAGCCATCACCTGAGAGTATTTTTAACCTGTGTTCTTCGAGATTTTTTTTTTTTTTTTAAATGGGCTGCTGGAATTGGAGTCCCTGTGCCTGCTTTGAACAACCCAAACCCAAGTCCTCTCCTCGATATGCTGGCCTTGGGGCCTGGGCAGCCTGACAAATATTATTCCTGGACGATGCTGACCTTGAAGATACAGATGCATAAACAAGGAAATGACTGAGTCATGATAATTTCAAGCTGCATCAGAAATTCGGGAGTGGGGGAAAATGGTGTTTTAGTGCTCAGAGTCGTGGGCTGTGGCAGCCTTGTTGGAGCTGCCTCCCTGGCTGCTCCTCATCTCCTCCAGGACTGGCCATGTCTGTCGGGCAGCTGCTGGCAGGGGTACTGTGGGGCGAGGGTGTCCCCAGGGCCGTTCATAGGGCAGTAACAGACTGAGGGGCTCCTGTGGGGGCCAGCCAGGGCGACCGCTCTGGGCACGGGACAAGGTGGGCTGCACAGCCACCCCTGCCCCAGCCCCACTGTTCTGGGGAGGGTGGCTGTGGGTCTGCCCCGCTGCTGCTGCTCCTGCCCTTGGGACAAGCTGCTGGCCCCGGGGTGACGAGGCAGTCTGGGATGGGTGCAGAAGGGCTGGAAGGCAAGGGGTTAATGGGGTCCTCCCTCCTGCACCCCAGAACCGTGACAACTACATCCGCTCCTGCAAGCTGCTCCCCGATGGCCGGAGCCTGATTGTGGGGGGGGAGGCCAGCACCCTCTCCATCTGGGACCTGGCGGCCCCCACGCCACGTATCAAGGCTGAGCTCACCTCCTCTGCCCCCGCCTGCTACGCCCTGGCCATCAGCCCCGATGCCAAAGTCTGCTTCTCCTGCTGCAGTGACGGCAACATCGTGGTGTGGGACCTGCAGAACCAGACCCTGGTCAGGTGAGTATGGGCAGGGCTGCTCGGGCCTCCTCCGGCCAGGAACCGCTCGGTCCCCTCCAGGGCATCCCCACCCCTCCCTGTGGCCATGGGACAGTCCCTGTCCTTGCAGCAGAGATCTCCCACTCCTCACTGCTGGGTGCCGGCCCAGTGCGCGCTCTGTGCTGCAGATGCTGGCAGCCCTGATGGCCGTGCCCTTGCCTTTTCCCCCCCCCCTCTTTCCCAGGCAATTTCAAGGCCACACAGATGGTGCCAGCTGCATCGACATCTCTAATGATGGCACCAAGCTGTGGACAGGGGGGCTGGACAATACAGTGCGGTGCTGGGACCTGCGGGAGGGGCGTCAGCTGCAGCAGCACGACTTCAGCTCCCAGGTAGGGGCTGGGGCCGGCTGGGAGCACTGTTGGGCTGGCCGGGACCTGCCAGGCTGCTGCCTGACCCTGTCTCTCCCCCCAGATCTTCTCCCTGGGGTACTGCCCGACGGGAGAGTGGCTGGCGGTGGGCATGGAGAGCAGCAACGTGGAGATCCTGCACGTGACCAAACCAGACAAGTACCAGCTGCACCTCCATGAGAGCTGTGTCCTCTCCCTCAAATTTGCTTCTTGCGGTAGGCATGTCTGTCCCAGTCCTGTAGCTCTGGAGGCTCGTGGATGCAGTCTCTCCTGACTGTGTGTGCCAGGGCTCATAGTACTGGGGGCAAGCACTGGCTCTGGTAGCCAGCCTGGTCCTCTGTGGATGTAAGTGGTATTTCTCAGAGAAGGGGCATCTGTCCCTCTTGGAGCAACACCCATGGCTATGCTCAGCTCTGTTCTCTCAGGACTCCCCTTTGTGTTCCTTAAAACAGCCCCTTGGCTAAGGAGTGATAGAGATGTGGCCTTCCAGTCCCCACCTTGTGTTACACAACCTGGGCACAGTTTACTGCAGGAATCCAGTGGGTGGGCCTGGTTTGGTGACACGATGCTCTTTGTCCCTTCTGTCCCTCCTACAGGGAAATGGTTCGTGAGCACAGGGAAGGACAACCTGCTGAATGCCTGGCGGACGCCCTATGGAGCCAGCATCTTCCAGGTGGGGGGTGTGGGCAGCTGTTGGGGTCAGGGTTAGTGGGAGGTATTCCTCTGGGTGAGGTTGCCCAGAGCTGGGACTGCTCAGTAGAACCCAGCTGCAAATGTATCTTAGCAATAACAAGCCTCATAAACAAACTTGTCTCTGCAGCCTCCCCAGGCACAACTTGGGGCCCCAAGTCCCATGGGGTGGGACTGGGACCTTGCTCTGGGGCTGCTTCTTGCACTTACCCCCCCCTCCACCCTCCTCTCTCCAGTCAAAGGAAACCTCCTCTGTCCTCAGCTGCGATGTCTCCACGGATGACCAGTTCATTGTGACTGGCTCAGGGGACAAGAAAGCTACGGTTTACGAGGTCATTTACTGAGAGTGAGAGAGGTGCCAACTGCCGGGAGGGCCCATGCCACGTGGACAGGCAGATGTCCACGTGCACAGATGAATGGACTCTACCTGCTCTGCTGCTGACTTCCCAAAGACTGTGCAGCCTGTGGCTGGGGCATCCGAGCCAGAGGAAAGCGGCGAGGGGTGGAGGTGGCCCTGGGACCATGGCCAGGCGTCATGCTGGGCTGGGAGGTGGCGGCTGCTGCTCGCAGTGAATTTCCTGGGGACTTTCTCCTTGTTTTGTTCTTTATTTGTTGATTTGTTTCTAAATCTGGACTGGGGGAATTGGGTGGGGGGGTGTGGTCTGGCATTGTTAGAGCTTTTTTGTTTTGGTTTTGTTTTTTTGGTTTTTTTTTTAACTTTTTGCTGGGTTTTGGTTTTTTTTGTTAAGGCTCTGGGCCAGGCTGGGGAAGATGGGCTCTGTCCTCGTCTTCCTCTGTGCCTCCTAGGATGTATTTAATAATAAAAAAAAACCCCAAAAAGCAGAGTTGTGCGTTGTCCTGGGCAGCAGCCTGGGTGCTCTGTGGCAGTGGGATGGAGCCAGGTGAGGCTGGGGGAGGCTGGGGCAGTAGCATCGTCCCTTTTGGCTGCCATAGATCACTGCTCCTTTCCCTTTCCTGCATTGGGGCAGGTTTGCTGGCACTCTCCACTGCCTGCAGTCTATCCACTCAGCCCTGCAGTGGTCCTGTGCACAGTGGAGGGCAGCCTGGGGCTGGACCACTGCTGACCCTGAGGGGAAGGATGCGTGACGGCGGCTGCTGTGTATTACTGTCCCTGGAGCAGCTTCTGCAGTGTGTGGGGGAGAGGCCAGTGCTAGAGGAAGTGGTTTTCAAAGGAAATGAGATGTGAGCAGTTGGCGCTGGGTTATCGGTCTGGCTTCCCGCCAGCGCGGCCATGGGGGAGGCAGGGCTGTTGCAGACAGCCTTGGTGCACAGCCTGCCAGCAGCGACCACGATGAGGGCTGGCAGGGAAGTGAGGTGCTGTTGGCTGTGGCGCGGCAGCCACGATGTGCTCTTGCCCTAAGCGCGGCCCTGAGGCACAGCTTGCCACAGCCAGCCCAGAGCTGGGGCTTGCAACTGCTGCGCTGCTGGAGCTGCTGTGATGGGCAGGCAGCCAGGGCAGGAGGGGCTCCCCCATGGTAGGAAAGGCCTCACCACTGCTGCTGGCCAAGGGAAGGCAGGGGCCTCTCCTGGACCCCCAGGTACACTTCACGGCCCAGCTGTTGCCATTGCCTGGGAGCGAGGCCAGCCTGGCAGAGCTGGCTGGGGAAGCCACAGCAGAGGGCTATGCTTACTCTGTACCTGTGAGGGGGTGAGGGATGGGAGCAGCTCCTGCTTCTGTCCCCCTGCTGCAGGGCCCTGTGCCCCAACTGCCACTGTGGGAGGGGGCTGAGCCCCCTGCTCCGTGTGTACAGCTGCAGGCGCCATTTCAGGGCATCTGGGGCTGGCGGTCAGCTCCCCAGGGATGGGTTTCCAGTGTCCTGCAGTGACATGAGGCCCCAACCCATCACCAGACCAGCCACTCATTTGTTCCTTTTTATTAGTAAGGGATTGAAAACACAGTTAAATACATTACTGATAATTTACAGCTGTTTCTGCAGCAGAAAATGGGTGCCATTAAATCAGTAGCAGTAGTTCAGGAGCAACACTATGTCAGTTGCTCTTGGCCTCCCCTTGCCGCTCTGCCAGCTCTCCAGCTCCCCGTGCCTCCAGCCCTGATGGACAGACAGGCCGTAGGATGCCCAGACCAGCCCCTGCCCGCTGCCCAGCTTGGGGGGACGCCTGGCCACAATGAGCGCTCACATCCAGCTCTCCCCTTCACCTCTGCGACATGTTGGGCAGGAACCAGGGCAGGGGAGCGGGGCCTGTGCCCTAGCCTTGTTCTGGCAGCTGAAAGGAGAGGAGGAAGAGGAGGGAGAGCAGGGCTGCGGGAGGGCTGGCCCAGCACGGGAGGCCTCCGCCACCCCTGGCAGCTCTGGGCAAGGCCTGGCCCCTTCCCTGATGGATGAGGGAGGGTGACAGATAGGGCCTCAGTACACCACCTCGTACACTGTGGCCTTCTTGTCGCCCGAACCCGTAACGATGAATTTGTTGTTGACGGAGATGTCACAGCTCAGCACCGACGAGGACTCTTTAGACTGAATGTGAGAGAGGCACGTGGTGAGGGCAGCACTGGTGGCTGAAGCTGCCCTTACTCCCCACCCTGTCCAAACGACTCCCCCGCACCTGGAAGATGCTGGCTCCATAGGGCGTCCGCCAGGCATTCAGCAGGTTGTCCTTCCCTGTGCTCACAAACCACTTCCCTGGGGAAGGAGACAAAGTGGGTCAGTGTTTGGGACTCCATTCGGGGGACACACACACACGACATGACACCAAAAGGACCCATCTAGGGCTGTACGGAGCCACCCCTCATTCCAAAGTCGACACAGTCCAAGCAGAAAACACAGCGCTCGCCTACCGCAGGAGGCAAATTTGAGGGAGAGGACACAGCTCTCATGGAGGTGCAGCTGGTACTTGTCTGGTTTGGTCACGTGCAGGATCTCCACGTTGCTGCTCTCCATGCCCACCGCCAGCCACTCTCCCGTCGGGCAGTACCCAACATGCAGCTGGCACCATCTGTGTGGCCTTGAAATTGCCTGGGAAAGAGGGGGGGGGGGAAAAGGCAAGGGCACGGCCATCAGGGCTGCCAGCATCTGCAGCACAGAGCGCGCACTGGGCCGGCACCCAGCAGTGAGGAGTGGGAGATCTCTGCTGCAAGGACAGGGACTGTCCCATGGCCACAGGGAGGGGTGGGGATGCCCTGGAGGGGACCGAGCGGTTCCTGGCCGGAGGAGGCCCGAGCAGCCCTGCCCATACTCACCTGACCAGGGTCTGGTTCTGCAGGTCCCACACCACGATGTTGCCGTCACTGCAGCAGGAGAAGCAGACTTTGGCATCGGGGCTGATGGCCAGGGCGTAGCAGGCGGGGGCAGAGGAGGTGAGCTCAGCCTTGATACGTGGCGTGGGGGCCGCCAGGTCCCAGATGGAGAGGGTGCTGGCCTCCCCCCCCACAATCAGGCTCCGGCCATCGGGGAGCAGCTTGCAGGAGCGGATGTAGTTGTCACGGTTCTGAATTGGGATTACAGCAAATGGGGCAAGTGGAGAAGGAGCTGATCAATGCATGGCAGCGGGGGTGGGGAGACAGATCTCCTTTTCTCATCACAGACGTGAAAGGAGCCCTTGTCCGCCTCCATTGTAACAGGAACACGTTCCTCTTCCCAGCCCCCACAACATGCCTTTCTGTTCCTTCTCCTTACCAAGCAGTCCAGCTGAGCCACGGCCGTCTTGGTACCCGGCTGCCCCACGTCCCACACCTTCACACAGCCCTTGCCCCCAGTGTAGACGTGCTGTGTGGAGCTGCTGATGGTGACGGCGCAGACCACCTCACCATGGGTCAGGGTGTGGAGCTGCCGCGCATGGCGGGGGATGCCGGAGCCAATGAGGGCATCGGGTGGGAAAGGCACCGGTTGCATCTGCCCGTCAGCGCTGACATGGAAGGAGTAGGCACTGGAAAGAAGCAGAAGAGAGGACTGAACAATCCTTGCGTGATGCCCGAGTGCAGGAGCTGACCTCTCCCATTAGCCATGCTCGAGGCAGGCGGAAGGTGTCCAGTGCACTCTGGCTAATGAGGGACATGATTAACTGGCTCCTTGTTACCACCAGCTGCCCGGAACAAAATGACAGCATTGGACTCAGAAGTACAAAGAAACTCCAGCCAGGCCCTGCCCTGCCCTACACCACCTGGGTGTAGAAATGAGCCATGGGGAAGGAGACCCCCCACACACACTCCCCTGCACCCACCCCATGCTGCCCGGCTCAGCCCCTTGCTGCCCACCCTCCCTGCAGCCCCTGCATGCAGCCACACTTACGGTTTCCCTCCAGGGATGGTGGAGAGTGAAGATGAGATGGTGGAAGCCCTCAGGTGAGGGTGTGACTCAAAAGCCACCTGCACAAAGGAAAGGGCACATGATGAGTGAAGTGCCAAACCCCCAGGAGGGGACATGAAGGCTGGGCTCATGCCCTGGGACCGGACCAGCACAGCTCTGCACAAGGTCCCTGCTTGCTGCTTCCTCCACATGCAGGTGACAAAGGCCAAAATGGCTCCCAAAGACACAGCCACACACCATTGAGACCAGTGAGGGCTTCTCCAAGAGCTCTGCAGCCTTCACTGGCCCCACAACCCAGACACCTCCAGAAGGGAGCCCCTCCTATGGCTGCAACCCCCCCAGCTTGAGCTCATTGCAGCAGTGCAGATACTGCACGTCAGGGACAGTGCATGCCCAGGACAGCAGGGGACAGACAACAGAGCCAACATGTGCCAGCAGATTGGGCCTGTCCCTTGGTGACTTACCATTGGGGACCGGCCGTACATCACGGCGCTGCTGACCTGCGGCGAAAGGTGGATTCCCATGTACATGCTGGGGGCTGGAAGCTCCCCGTTGAGGGTGGCATGAGGCACCATCCCAAAGGAGGACATGTAGGGGCTGGACATGCTCAGCGGGCTGCGGAGAGCTGCACAAGGAGAGAACTGCTCATTTGCCCTGACCTACGGGTGTGAGCAAACATCACCCGAGGGAAAAGGGCATCTGACAGAAGCCAGGCAGCAAGAGGCTGCATCACCTCTGCACCGGGCCCAGCCAAGCCTGGCATGAACCAGTGGCTCAGGAGGAGGGCAGGCAGGTTATGTATTGGGAGCCAAAGACCAAAGAAGAGGGGCAGCCCCTGAGTCCCATCAGTCAGGGACCTGGGATGCAGATCCAGCACAGGAGATCAAATGGCTCTTTCCCTCCAACGGCTGCACCATGGACCAGCTGCTAATCCACAGCAACCTTCATTTCTGCTGCCAACACCTTTTCAGTCTCAGCCAGGCCAAATTATTTGCAGTTGATGGCTAAGTGGCTCTACTTCCAGGGTTTTGATGATTTATTGAAATCGATTCCAATTCAATTTTTGCTAAACTGCTGTAATGCCAGACAAGGGTTTAACGTCTCCAGTCCTGGCTCTATTTCTTCCTTGGGCTAGCTGTCCTCCTCCCATCACTTTCTGGTCCCTTTGGCTAGACAAGTGGTCAAGCTGTTCCAGAGACCTCTCCCCAAGGCTTCCCTAAATGTCTTCAAGGAAATTGAGGCAGGAAAAGGGGGCATGACCAGTTCACCATCAGCCACCACAGAGGCCACTGCTGAGCACTCACCCCCCCCGCCCCCCATGCTTTCAGAAGAAGGTGGAAGACATTGACAGGGGCTCCTGGATCAGCTGGATCTTGCCCAGGGTCTCTGCAGCACCCAGCGTGTGCAGACCCTCACCCCTACGGAGCTCCTCAGCTGCACAGGGAGACTGGCCATGTCCTGGCCTCCTGCATGCCCATGTGCCAATGGCAGCACTCAGCCACCCCTCCTACCCCTGCAGCCAAGCCCTGAAGCATGCAGCTTCACATAGCAACAGCAAAATGACAACTTGTCAGAGAAAAACAAGGACCTCCAAACAAAACACCTGCCCCCCCCGAACACCTGTAGCGAAGAGCTCTGCACATCACCACACCACCTCCAGCAGGTCTGAGCCCGCCAGGAAAGCATCACCAGTCAGGTACGTGGTAATTGCACATAGGGGCACACATTGGCCATGGTCAACATGTTTGATTACATGGAGCAAAATGGCCACCCCAGCTCTGCTGACGGGAGAGAGCGTCCTGTCTCCCCTCACTCCAGCCCCATGGCACTGTCCGCAGCAGAGCACAACACCCCCCCCACTGTCCCCAAACACTCACTGATGGTGTCAGTGGCAGGTGCCTTGGTGGGGGGCTGCCGGAGCAGGGCGGCCGAGCTGGGGCCAGGGCTGGGCGTGAGGGAGTCACGGGGCGGTGAGGAAGCAGAGGGCTTGGAGGTAGGAGCGCTGGCTGGAGGGTCAGTCTGCATGGCAGAGGGAAGAGCATCTTCAGTGGCAAGACCGCTGCCCGGAGAGTGATCCCCAGTGCCGCAGGCCTGCCAACAGCCTCGAACCACCCGGGAGGGGAGGGGGGCACCAAGAGGCACTGCTCTCGGACAGAGCTGGAGGGGGACTCGGCCGTCCTCAGCCCAAAACCCCACTCCTTTCCTCCTTTGCCCCTCATGCCCTTCCCACAGCATGGAAGGAGCCCCATGCCTCTGCTCCCCTCCCCAGGTGCAAACGCTCAATGCAAGCCCCACATCACCCCAAACTGCCACAATCCTGCACCCCTGCAGCACCCTGCCACTGGCACAAGGTCTCATGTGAAATCCCTCTTGTGCAGGGGGCACCCCCATCCCTGGCCTGTGCGGAGCAGGACCAGGAGAACATTTGGGACTAACTGGCTCCTTCAATCCCCACAGCTATTTCATTACTTTCTTTTTTCTTGCTTCTCCTATTTCTTCCTCTTTTTCTGCCTGGGGATTTTGTTGACACCAGCAAAGGAAAAAAATTAATAACAGAGAAAAGCTACGTGCTGCGCTGGCAGATTGCTCAGGGCGCTTTGTCTGCTCTAATCCGATTGTGCCGGGGAGCCATTGCTTGCTGCTCCCCATGGCCCCCCAGCCAGCTCCTGACCCTGGCATGGTGGGGATGCATCGCTTCAGTCCCTGTGGTGGTTGGGAGGGCCAGAGAGTGGCAGAAACATCCCTCCCCCTTCCCACACACTGATGTTTCAATCTGAGCATTGGGCTGGTGCTTGGCAAGGAGGAAGGGAAAAAACCCAAAGAAAAATCGATTGTTATGAGCAGCTCTGGATAATCCTGCAGGCAGCCGGATGGAAAATACCTGCAGAGCCAGACCTCTGCCTAGCAGATGATTAGCTTCCCTCTGAGGGCACAGACCTCTGCTCCCAGTGCTGGGGAGTCTGGTGGTGGGTACCAAACACTTGGCACTGACATCTCCTCGCCCACCTTTGGGCTACAGCAGACAGGCTACAGAGAACTTCGGGGCCACGTCCCCAGCCCTGCTGCCCACCCACAGCCCAGGCTGCCCACGTGCCTCCCTACCAGACTCTGGTCCTTCAGCTTGAGGGGTGTTGTGCTCCGGCTAGAGGCGATGGAGGCAGGGCTCTCAGGCATCTCCCTGCGGGCTGGTGGGAACTGGCTGCTGGGTGTGCAGCCAGGGCTGCCGGGCTCTGAGGGGGGGTCCTGGGGGAAGAAAAGGTCTCTAGGGAGTAGGAACCCCAGCCCCTCTGCACAGGAGGGCAGGCACAGGGGCCCTGGAGAGCCACCTCCAGGTCCAGAGCCCAGCAGGCACCATCAAGCCCCCATCTGCTCCCCCTGTCTGCCAGGCAAGCTGCTCATCCAGCAGCTTGCTGTCCCGTGTCTGCCTGAGCGGCATTAACGAGGAGCATCTGCTTAGAGGCCTCAGCTCTGCTCCACAGTCCCCTGGATGAGAAACCTCCTTGATTTTTCTCTTTGAACAAAATCAGAGGTGACAGCAGATTCAGAGGACACTGGTGGCCACGGATGCCTTCACAAGGAGGGATGGTGACCAGCACACCTAAGGAACTGAGAAAGGGCTTCTTGGCAGCCCTTCAACAGCATTTCAGAGCCAAGGCCACCCATCAGCTCTTGCACTCCTATAACCATTCAATTAGGGCTGTGATTTTTATCACCATAATTACACCGATGAGCAGTTTTTATAAGTGTCGTTTTCTGCAGAAATCCCTGCTGATGTTCCTTTCAGGGCTTGTATTTTCTTGGGAAGTGGCAGGAGGAAAAAAAAACCACGTGTTGTCCCTCCCCCCAGTCTTGAAGGGGAAGAAAAGGGATGTCCTCGAAAACACCACCTCTGACAAGAATAGCTGGGGCTGGGATAAAGTACTGTTGTATCTGCCTTGGTGGTCAGGGAAGGTTGTACCAGAAGCGCCTGGCAGTTTGGTTGCGAGAGACTGAAAATCAGTGTGTCCCCTGCACTGAGACACGGACACGGGCTCAGTGTGTTAAAGTCAAGGCCAGGCACCATATGTGACCACCCAGACAGGGACTGGCAGGGCCGGGCTGGGTCAGGGTCCGCTGTGAGCTCTCCCACCAAAGGCAGCACAGCATGCCTGCCTCCTCCTGCCACCTCCATTTGCGTGAGCTGCCACCAGCAAGCCCAGCTCCCTGGGGCTCTCATCCCAGCTTATCAGCCTCCCCATATGGGATGCTACAGGAGGGGGCTGAAACGAGATTGTGAAGCGGAGCCAAGTCTATGACTGGCAAAGCTGAGCCCTGGCTGGCACAACGTTCAAACCGGAGCACTGCGAATCGGAATCAGCCTTGGCTGGCATGAACGCATCAGGGCAGGGCTGGCACGTGGCCTGGCTGGCCACTCCTGCCCAGCAGCAATGACTCGGAGCCTAATGAACCCCAAAGCTTGGGAACCAGAGTCCTAAACCTGATGACTGCAGCTTGAGCTGGATACCCTGCAAGGCTTCAGCAAGCCCTTAAGGGAGGGGGCTTACCTCATCCACCACAAGGTTGTAGTCACTCTTGTCCCCATCGCTATCCTGCAAGGGGGGAGAAACCCAGAAAGGCTCAGTCAGGAGTGGGAGAGGCTCGACCAAGCTCTGGGCCCTGTCCCACAGGACCCCAGCCAGCAGAGAGACCCCATTTTCTCCTGCACATCACTTCTCACGGACCAACACCACGCCCTGCAGGCAGCGACTCAACCCTCTGGCTGAGGGGCTTCCCCGGGGCTCTTCATTTCGTTCCATTTCATTTTGCAGGATTACAGCCCTCTGCACCCAGAGTAGGCACAGAGCTCCCTGGACACCTCCAGGGCCCAGGCCCGTCTCCCACAGCCATGCTCTTTGATGCACTCACGTAATGCCCAGGCAGGTCCTTCTCTTCCCGCTTCTGCTTCAGCCCTGTGCCTCCTGTCTGCTCCTCGTCCTGCAGACTCTCGGGAGGGGAAGCAGAAATGCTCTGAGTCAGAGAGAGGGAGAGGAAGGCGTGTGAGCTGGCAGGAGAGCAGACAGCCTGCAAAGCCCTGCCAGCCGCATTTCTGCTCTGGAAGAGACCTCCCAGTGCTGCTGGCTGCACCCAGCCAGTGTCCAGCATCCAGCCAGCTATCTGTGCAACCTGTGCCACAGACGGTTTGGGGGGCAGGGGTCCCCTTCCCCCACCAAGCAGGGGTCAGGGCTAAAGGGGGAGGCACTACTCTCCCTCTCTGCGCAGATACCTGCGGCATCCCCTTACTAGCACCCTGTGCACCCTCGGCCAAGAGTCCTCTAAGATCCAAAGGTACCTCAGGGCAGAGATGGGGTTTAGTCTGGTGCTTTAAGCAAGGCTGGGGAAGATGTTTCCAGACCCCTGAGTTCTAACCCAGATTCATCCATTCAGCTCTGACGGGGCAGAGAGGAGGGAAGCAGGATGGGGACCACCCCTGGGGGTTGGCTGCCCACAGTCTCCTGGCGTGGGCAGAAGGCAGATGCATTTTTAGGGTGCTCAGAGACTTACCCACATGCAGCCCCAACACAGCATCACCTCCCTTTCCTAGCTTGGCCCCAGAATGACTCCAAAGTGAGCTGCCCTCACCCCTTCCCCTGCCCACCCCTCACCTCAAACCTGGCCAGGCCCTGCATCCCACCCAGGGAGTGCATGGCCAGTCCATCAGCCCATCACCGCCTTCAGCCTGGCAAAGCATCTCCCTGGCTGGTGGGCAGGAGGAAGAGAACAAAGCCCTGCCCCAAACCCCAAAGCTACAGGCTCTCCTTCCTTGTCAGAGCAGAGAGGTGGGCAATGGGGCAGGTGGGAAAACAGCCCCAACTGACAGATGAGACCTGCTGTGACGAGGATGGGGGAGGACAAGGAGGCGTAGCCATGCCCTGGCCCAGCCACTGGCACACAGGGCTGCATGAAGCCAGGAGCTGAGCAAGGCAGCATCCCCATTGCGGCTGGAGAGCAGATCCGCCCCTTCGGGAGATAACAAGGCATGGTGGAGTGGAAAATCCCCATCGGAGACATGTTTACTTCACCTTAACCCTGCTGCTCCAGGAGCCAGAGGGCTAGGAAGCAGGATGGGGCTGAGCAGGATGAACACCTTTTCCCTGAGATGCTGCCAGCAGCTGCAGGGGTGTCTCAAATCCCCTCCAGCCCCCCACGCTCACTGTGTGGAGGATGATAATGCGATCAAGTGGTGCCTGCCCACCCACAGCCCCCTGGCTCTTGTGCAAACCAGAGGAACACCAGGCTGACACCAGTTACTAGAGAGGCTGCCCTCCCTCCCAGAGCAGCCAGGGTGCTTGGGCTGGGGCAGTTTCTGGGGCACGGCTCCCCAACCTTCCCAAGACTACTCTGCAAAGCTGTTCGTGCTGGGTGTCGGAAAAAATGCCCTATCCCAGGGGTCCCACATGGTCGATTGTTTCCAGCACAGTAGGATTAAGAACCTCAACACATAAAACCACGGAGCAGACAGGATGCTCCCTATCCCCTGAGTGATCTCTGGAGGAGGTACCTGGGTATATATGGGATCACAGGGGTGATCCATCCTGCACAACACATGACCATCTCTCCCTCCTCCTCTCCCACCTGACTGCAAGCCTATGAAGATCAATGCCAATTGCTCCCCAATGGAGGGGCTCGTTAACCCTTCCTTCTCCTGCCTGTACCAGGAGCTGGAGCTCTGGCTTACTGCAGCCATGGAGCCTGGGAAGGGAGTCACAGACCTGGGACTCACAACAGGCTGGGGGGTATCTTAAAAGTGAGGGTGCAGCCAAGGGTTACAGAGGGGCTGGCAGCACTGGGCTTAGGTAAGGAGACCTGTTCAGCCTGTTTCCGAAACTGGAAACTCCTTGAAAAGTACAGAGCTGGTTATTTTGGGAGAAGCCCTCGACCTTTAGATCCTTTGTAGTAAAGATAAGGGCTGGCGACCGGAAGATCACGTGCTGTACGGAAAGAGTTAAGGGTCGACCCTCCCTTGTCTCCGCCCCTTATAACATGACACACCTACTGCTGGGGGTATAAAGCCCGGGTCGGCTGGAGATCTAGGGGGATAACCTTGATGTGTAGTGTTTGCTACACAGTGGTGACCCCGACGTGATCAGGAGGCACAGCATGTAAGGTAAGGCCTGAGTGTAAATGCAACCGCAAAGCTGAGAGGTGGAAATCAAGGGGTGGAGGGCAAGATCTTGAGAAATCCTCAAACAAATCGCCTTCAAGTCTGGCAAAGGGAAAGGGAGAAAGAAGGTCCTAGGAACAAGAAGTGTGTTTTCCTTCTGGGAACAGAGTCCAATTGGATGCAGAAGTACAAGCAGCACTGCCATGAAATCTGGCTGTACACGGTTAATGTGGTAAATAAAGCGGTTTTGCCCTGCATTGCTGGCCCAGGATCGCATTTTCCATCGTGTGGAACCGGTGCCCAGAACTCCCTTTCCAAATGTCACTCTGTGTTCAGGGAATCAATTCTTCCATAACACCTGAAAGCACACAAAAAGTTAGGAGAGGAATAAGCTGGCTGAGTATCTCTGTGGGCTGTTGCTGCGGGAAAGACAGTGCTTTGTAAGAACAACAGGGTGCTAAACCCCCTGTCGTTAGATGTGTGAGTTTTTTAGTTTTCCTTAGATGCGTTCCCATTTCCTTTGACATCGGGTTGGTAGCTCCACCCTGAGGAATGAGTTGGGTTTACTCGTTTTCAGCTGTCCATACAATTTAGTTCGTGTTTAGAAAGATGTCCAACTAACCTTTGTGGCTCGTATGTTTCTGTTTGCTTGTGCTTGTGGCTGCCGGGCGAAGTTTGATAAGCAACTCCCAAAGGAAAACTGATTTGTACTGCCTGGGATTTCTTTCTACCGCACCTTCTGGTTCTGATTCCAGCCGTTTCTCATCGTCTCTTTTCATGGCACTTAGATGTCTCTCCCAGGCTATATACAATATACACCAGTGTCTGTTAGGGAGAAGACGCTGACGGGTGATAAATGGCAGAGAAGTGACACATGTCTGCAAAAAGCCAACGAGAAGAGGATTTTAATTTAGATTCTCTTCATCTCAAGGAAAAAAAAAAATCCTGGAGCCATGCGACTTTCTAAGGGCACAGATCGTATGCAAGCGAAAGTGTTAAGTGGATTGGTAAAATATTTGTTTATATCGGTGATGGTCGCCGTAGTTTTGAGGGGAGAAGGCACTTCGTCCCAGCACTGAGAAGAGGAACTTTATCGCCACCTCATGCGAAGCTATTCTTACCGTTGTTGCTAACTATTCCACTCTGAAGAGACCGTATGAAGCTGTTCTTGGCCAGCTAAGGATAACAGCTAAGATAATCAATTAGTGATAAGTAATGTGTAGCTCTTAATCAGGCGAAGGGTGGCTTCCCTGACAAATCTGTACACGAGGTTGTGCTACTGACAGAAGGCGGAGGGGGGCGGAGCTCCTCCCGGGTAATCTGCCTCTTGTGCAGGCTGGGAGGAGAGTTTCGACTGCTGAAAGGCACAGCGCCGGGCTGCACCGAGCGCTGCCTGCGCAGACCTTGCCGTGCCACACGGAGCGAAGGGAGGCTAAGGACTCCGCGCCGCCCCTTCGCTGCGGGCTCTGCCGGCGCCTCCCTCTCCCCCGGCCGGGGATCCCTCCCACGGCCGCATGTGTGCGCGGCGCTCGGAGCCGCAGTTGCAGCCGCCGC